AGCCCTATCAAGCTGAAACATACCACCCGGACGCCCACCGCGCCCGCCCGCCCACAAATGGACGACCGTACCTGATGCTCGTATTGCTTCATTTCGCTAAGTAAATTTGAAGGGAAGGGGATTGATATGAAGCGGGGCTGCAGATATATGAGTACATACGCCATACCTACAGTAGCGGTTATTGGCAACATGCCTACGGGAAACTCGTCCGAAACTGTGACTCGTCAAAAAAAGGCTTTTCTTTGCAGGTTTTCGACCGTTTCACTTCTTTTTTTCGCCATTTCCCCACTATATAGCACCCTGCTAGCATTTCAGACGGAATCAATTGTGTCAAATTATCGTGCCGTAATTCTTTGAGTGGTAATAGTATGCATGGCTCAAACTGGTTACGTCCACAGCTGTTCTAATGTCTGCTTTCCCTTTTCGAGTATATCCCGGCTGTTTAGCGCATTAGTTAACAGATATATGATTACAAAATGACAATGAGACATCGCCAAGAACGAGTCGTGACATCGCCACTGATGCGTTGTGCACGCATTCAAGTCGACATTGCGGACACCACTCCTTCGTTCGTATAAATAGCGTAACTAGTATGGCGCTTGCAACTACTGTGGCCTAGTTTCAAGCACGGAACTCTCGTTCACAACTGCCCGACAGACTCGCTTTCTCGTCGGGCGAGCGCGGTCACTCCGCTGCTTTTTCTTTTGAAACTCTTGGACGGATCTTTCTAGTTAGACATCCCATCTTATACCTCTTTTCAAATCCCATCAGCTCCAAGTGACCTATCCCAGCAAAAGGACTGTGATACCTGCACTCTGCAGCTTTGAGGGGTGGGATAAAGCTTCTGTTCTGCTTCTGTTCAGAGTTGCAACGATCTGAGTGACTTGACGGGACCAGGCCGATGGACAGTTCAGTGTTTATCCCCCCCCCCCTAAACCGAGTCTTGTGCCGATTTGCCGCTTACGGAGAGATAGGAGGCTTGCTTGGCCCGAGAGGGAGCCGATTCGGCATTTGACCTCAGAACCGCGTCTCTGTCACTAGACCATCTTCACGACTCTGTACTTTGCTATCCGTGGTCACCTTACTGAACACGCTTCCCTCCCCCAGGCGAAGTAAAACTGTTACATTTTTCCACTCGTCTCAACAATAAAAAGCCTCACCTATTTCAGCTTCATCCCGAGTTCTGTTTCTGTACCTCAGAAACGGTGCAGCGGCAGATGGTGGAATAACGAGAACCTTTTTTGCTCTTTTGGAACCTCGGAGGCTTTCCAATGTCTTTTTCATACAACAATTTGTTTCCTCCCAATCAACCGATATCTAAGTTAGGGCTCTTTTCACTCCCAGACAGCACAGGTGTCAATTGACCGACTCTGGAAAGACACTTGGACGTTTTATATTACTTGACTGTTTCGGTGATAGGGCTAATTCCATAAGCGCAGACTGAGGGAGGAGGGGGGGTATTTTGTACGTTCACTGCTTCACTAATTCTGGTTTGAAAGTTTGGCGCTGTTTATCGACGGGGGGGGGGGGGCATTCTGCTTCATAGATTTGCCAACCCATCTAGGTATCCTTTTTTCGAGTTGACACGTTTTAGGATT